ATATTTTGAAATATATTTTGAATAATATAGCTTAGTGTTAACAGCAAAATGAAATATAATTTTTGTCTTACTAAAAAAAAAAAACTTAAAAATGTTCTAAGTAATTCCTCTAGAGGTAGGTTATCTGTGGAAAATACTTTGATAAACACTTTAGTGTGCTGAGTGGTGGGAATATTTCTAGTTCATTTTTATGACTACATTTTTACAAATAAAAATAAAATAAAATATTAAACAGTACATTTTCAAGTACTCAGTAGGCTCCTCTGATTAATAATGAATATGTCCAAAGAGAGACTTGAGAGTCTGATAAATTCCATACAGTGAAAAAGCTCTCAGCAGAGAATGAAGTCAGCTTCTGGGCAGTAGGTGAGGCTCAGGATAGCAGAACACTCTGTCCCACCACCCGTCATCCTAACCCACATCAGCACATTCACTTCCGTATGCAGTAGTCAGCCATGGACATGGGACCACTCTGTCTTCTCTAACATTTTCTTCGCTTGGCTTCCAGCACACCACACCCTACAGGCTGTGTGTACCACACTGGTGGTTCCTTCCTGAACCACTCTGCTATTCTCCCCAACTCCACTGCCAGCCCATGGCCATATTCTCTTCTCTATCTACACTAACTCCTTGATGTTCTCAACAGCCTCACAGCTTTAAACACCACCTCGATGATGTAGTCTACAGCAGACTTCTCCCCTAAACTCCGGACTTGTATAGCCCACTGCTCACCTAACAACTCCACTCGAATGTCTCACAGGTTTCTCAGACTTGACATATCTAATGTTCAATCCAAAATCTCTTTCCCCAGATTTTCCTGTCTCAGTTAATAATAAGTCTCTTAGTTCAGTAGGCTAAGCCTAAACACTTGTGTCATCCTTTCTTTTTTTTTTTTTTTTTTGTGATATGAAGATTTTTTTTTCAAGTTTCTTTCTTTCTTCCAGGAGAGGAGAGAGACAGAGATCCAGGAGGGGAGAGAGACAGAGAAGGGGTGAGAGGCATCCTCAAGAGAGTCTTCACACCATAACCACCCCCAGCCTGAGTCAGTCAGGATCACAGTCATGATCATGCCTCTGCCCTATGCATACAGAAGACCTGGAGGAAACTCATGGCCTTCCCACGTAGCTTCAGCATGACAGGCCATTGTGTTTCCGCTGCACCATCATGGCTAGCCTCTGGTGTCATCCATGACTCTTCTTTTTCTCTTACATCCATAAGAAAACTCAGTTGGCTCTGTTTTCAAACCGAATCCAAGATCAGAACCTATCACCAGCCAGAGTGGCCGTGCCAGGCAGAGCGTTCACATCCCCCACCAGATCACCACACTACTCTCGCTCACCTCCCTATTTCCACTCTTGCTGTCCACCCAAGTCTATTCTCAACATGGCAACCAAAGTCACCCTTGCAAAACCTAAGTCAGATCATGGCCTTCCTTTGTTCAAATCCTTTAGAAGCTTTCATCTGACAGAGTACCCGCTAAAGCTCTTTCATCGGCTCAGAGGGCATCCCTGATCTGGTCCCTGCTGCCTCATCAACTTTTTCTATTCTCCCTCCTACACACCCCTTAAGTGACATTGGCTTTCATGGTACATCTCAAAATATGCAACACCCCTCTATTTCAGAGTCTTTGCAGTCACTGTCCCCTCTGCTTGGAATGATTTTCCTTCATAACACATCCACATGGATCTCCCTCACCTACGACAGTTTTTGTTTAAATGTCTCCAATATGAGGTCTGCACCATTTAAAAACTGTACCTGCCCACACCTTCTTCATTCCTTCTAATATAAAATAGTATGTTATGTACTACTAATTATTTATCACATTTACTCTTTATTATTTTTATGGCTTATACTTCTCCATACTAGAATGTAAGCTATACAAGGTCAGTAAATTTTTTGTCTTTATCTTTCTCCTCCCCCCCCCTTTTTTTTGCCATAGGGCACGTGCACTCTCCAGAGAGAGACAGAGAGAGAGAAATGAGAAATCACCCTTCAGAGTGGATGGCCATGTCACAATCCCTTCTTCTCCAGTCTCCTTTCTCAGGATTTTGGGCACACACACACACACACCTAGTGTGATTTTCAAGCTGCTGGGCCTAGGATTTGAACCAAGGTCAGGCATGTGGAGTCCTGTACCTTTACTACCATGACATGTGCTGCCCCCTGCTGTGTCTCTTTTGTTCTGATATGTCACAAGCACCTAGAACAGTACCTGGCACACAGCATCACTGCAAAAATATATTCGTTGAATGAATGAAACTGCAAGTATCAAAGTCACACAATGTCAAGGCTCCATTGAACAAAGTAGTTTTATGTAATGACATCATCACTAAAAAAATATGACTTTCTGTTAGCTTCCTTGCATTACAGACAGAATCTAGTTCAGGTTTTTGCTAAGCAACATATTGCCCATTGCAAGTTGGGGAAATAAAGAACGTGTATACTTCTGCTTCATGATATAGACGCAACAGAGAGACTCATGTGGGTGCTTTTAGCAGGCAAAATACTGGGCACCTTGCTTTAAAGGACCAGGCTTAGAACCGCTCATAGACTCCAAGAGTCTCTCTTTTAACAGTGCCTCACCAGGCGTAACAACGAAGGTCACTCAAGTTTTCATCAGTTCTGGCTCTTAGGAGCCCTAGCTACATCCTAAGGTAGAAGTCCAGAAAACACCTTGCCTACTCCTATTCTCCATACTCAACTTGGCTTCACAGCACCTACAAGGTTTCCTGCATTAAGTCATCCACCCCCTTTTCTTCTCTGTAAGCCGGGCTATGTCCTTGAAAGCCAGTGCCATTGCCATTTCCCTGGTACTTGGCAGCACGTGGTGATTTCTCAACCAGCAGTCACAGAATCAATGAATGATTTAGAATTCCACAAGGTAAGAGATGCATTCCAAACATGGAGAGGCTTAGTCAAGTTTTCATTGATATAGTATAGAGTTAGTGAATGTATTAATAAATTAGCACAAGGATGCAGTTATGCAAATAGGGAAGACTCCTTATTCTCATTTCTTTGTCAGTCAGAAAAGAAGTGGCTTCTCATCTAGCTATTAATCCACCATCAAAGCAGTCTTGGAGGTATATAAGTAAAAATTCAGCATAAGGTTTATTTTTTTTGGAGAGGTTTTTGCTATAGGGCGCGTGTGCTTGCCAGACAGAGAGAGACAGAGAGACAGAAAGCGAGAAATCACCCCCCCAGGGGGGATGGCCACGCTGCAATCCCTTCTCCTCCATTCTCTTCTTGGGATCTTGGGCACTCACGTGTACATGCCCAGCGTGAGTTTTAAACCACCGGCTCCGGGATGTGAACTGCGGTCGACTGCATGGGAGTCCAGCAACATAGCAATTATGCTAACTGCCGGTCCCAGCATAAGGTACTTTTACAGAGATGTTTAGAATACTAAAATAAACCTGTATTGAGTTTGAATCCTGACTCAGTGCAGGTGCTTAACTCTTAACAAATCTTTAGCTTCTAAAATTCAAGTTTCTCCTTCACCTATGAAATGGGACTATAATATTTTTCTCTGTGTACCTTCAACACACTATTGTGTCAAATGAGATGAGGTCTGTACAACTTTTTTGATATATAAAATGAATTATTATTGCCAGTTACTCTTGATTTCTCTTTGTTTCCACCCAAGTCTTATATGTAAATTTTGACGTGCCATAAAAAAAATGGCAATGAAATCTATAATATCCGCCTTTCTTGTTTGCCCCAGCCTTCCCTGAGTTAACAACTTTGAAGATAATTATCAAGCATTTTAAAAATATTTTCCTTACACAGCATCACTTTTCCCTTATATCTGCTAATGGAGCCAAAATGTGTGTGGGTTTTGAATTTAGGAATGTCCAAGTTCAAACATGGCTCGTTTTGATCTAGTTCTAAATCTTATCGTTGCCCAAATAAACACAGCAATTCTCCAGCCGGGCACTGATGATCAAGGAAAGAGAAACAATTCTATTTTCTATTTTTCCCATGTGTTTTTGATTATTATTAGTAGTGGTATTTTTTTTTTTTTTTACTATAGGGCACTTGTGTGCTGGCCAGAGATAAACAGACTGAGAGAGTGAAAGTGAGAAATCACCCCCCCGGGGGGGGTGGGAGGTGGCCACACCCCAATCCAATCCCTTTCCTCCAATCTCTTCAGGATTTGGGACATGCACACACACGTGCCCAGCATGATTTTCAAGCCACCTGGTCTAGGACTCGAATCATGCAGTCAGCAATGTGGCACCCAGCACCTTAACCACCATACCACCTCCTGGAGTATATTTTTCCCCCTATATGGAATGCAGACGGTGTTCCTTATGATTGATCAATTTGCTTTTTCTTACCACAGCCATTGTGAGCTGTTTTCACATTTCTCATTATATTCCTACTTCAGAAACAAACAAGCAAAAAAATCCACTGGACTCATTAGAGAGCTTGTATCTAACAGGACAATTTCAACAGTGTTTAACACACATGACTGCATTTACCACTGACACAAAAAATCCAGAAACTAAAATGCAATTGTTTCAAGTAAATTTCAACCTTAAGAAGAAAACCAAAACCAAACAAACAACAACAACAAAATCACAGCTGATCAATCAAGATACATAGTGGTGAAGGCAGTGACCATAGCAACCAGAAGCAATTTCTTTAAAGGTTTTTGCCATAGGGCACATGCACTCACTGGAGAGAGACAGAAAGAAGGAAAGTGAGAAATCAACCCCAGAGAGGATGGCCATCCTGCAATTCCTTCTCCATTCTCCTCCTGGGATTTTGGGCACACACACACATACACACACACACACACACACACACACACCCCATATCCAGGACTTGAACCATAGTTAGACATGGTGGGAGTTCAACACCTTAACCACTACACCACCTGCTGGTCCCCAGAAGCAAATTTTAATAAAAATATAATAACTCTAAAAATTCTCTCCAAAAATTTGTGCTGTAAAATTTCAAAAAAAAAAAAAAAAAAAAGCCTAAAGCCTAATGCTTAACTGACTTATGTCACTCATCCAGGCAGCCTTCTCCTGACGCGAAGGTGCCAACAAGACTACAGTGAAAGGGGCAGCATCAGGAGGCTCCACCACAATCTTAAAATCCAGGTGTCCAAACACTTGACCAGAACCCTTGGCTTCAACACACATAAACCAAACCATTAGGTAAGAATATAAAAATACAGTGGCAGCTGCTTTCACGTAGTTCTATTAAACAACCAATGCACATTCGCATCCAGATTCTCATTTCAGCAAAATCATCCTGGTCGAGGATGGGCTTTATTGAGCTCACAGTAGATGAGGACAGTGAGGTGAGTAGGTCACTAAAATGAAGATCCCCATCTCTTTTTATTATTTTTTAAATTTCCATAATCTCCAGAACTCCAGCCATCAAATTCTCTGCCTGGCTCTAAAACATCACCATCGTGAGAAATTCAGTTACAATGTGAAATTCCCAAGGATGGTTTAACAAGGCTTGCAGGTTAAATGGCTCAACAAATATTTTCTTATATAAATGATGTTACAGACTTTATCCCCAGCATTTCTTCTGCCTCCCTATGTAGATCTCCTTAACTATGGAAGAATAGAGCCACTTAACTTCATTTTCTTATCTAGTATCATCGTAAGTTATAGAAATGACTTACAGTCATCATCGCTCGCATCGGGCTCCTCAATCAATGTACACTCTATTAGAGAAAGAACCCCACCTGTCTGGAAACAAACCAAGTTTTCATTAAACAGCTGAAGGTCTTGTGCAGTTAAGGAAGCTCTGATTTATAAATCTTATATTCAAGATACCACAGAGGAGAGCATAGCAATTCTGCATCACAGACAATTGTTGATAGATTCAAAAGTAAACTTAAATGTATAAATGGAATCTAATTCATTTTACTTTCAATGAAATTATTCTCTCCCTCCCATTGTGGCTCCCAGTGGTTTTAAAATTTAGCAAGTCAATCAATGGGAGATCATAGGGCCCCACAGAGACTTGAGAGAGTAAATGCAGGTCAGCACAGGGCTGAACTCACCAACCAGGAAGTGGTGAGCAGTGGAAGCCTGTCATGGTGGTGTTGAATAATATTTTTAAGCAATGACAGAAGGTAGAGCTAGGCAAACGTTTTCTATAGAGGGTCAGATGGTAAACATTAGGCTTTGTTGACAGTATGATCTCTCATAATTACTCAAATCTGTCATTTTAGCAAAAAGCAACCACAGACATTTAAACAATTAACGTGGCTGTGTTTCACTAAAAGTTTATGAACAAAAACGACCAGCAAACTCTAAGCTGATTTCTGGTACAGAGCAGGATAAAATAGGAAGTATTGCATAGGTACACTGCAGTGATTTGCCAAGATTTTTGTAGTTCAGTAGTCATCGACTAGTGATAACTTTGTCCAGGTTATGCTTTTAATTGTAGTTTTTTAATGTGTAATGCACTCTTAAATTCCAGTTGCTTAGAACCCAAATGACAGCAAAGTAAATATCAGAATTGGTAGGTGTACATGATGCATTATCCCGTTCTTTGTGCAATCCTGACAACTGTTTTAGGAAGATACCAGGCATGAGAAATTCACAATTGAATTAACCTCAATACCTCTTAAGTGTTTGGAACATAAATAAAATAGTCATGGAAAACCAGTACCTTGAGCAGATGCAGCTTTCCTCCTGAACTTCTTGTACAAATTAAAAAGTGTTTTGTAAATAAGAAGCACTGTCTCTCTCCTTCCTTTTTCAAAGACAATGAACCCAGGCGAACTTTACTAAGTTTCCCTCTCTCAACGGAAGGTACTTGAATAAGAGAACCTGGTGATCACAAAAGTGAAGAATACACAGCAATTACAATTCTGTCAAGCGAAGACTGTGTTTGTGGCAATAAACTCTAGGGCCTGTTTTTCAAGATACCAAGGATTGATTTAATGCACCATCATAACAAGTAAATCTCCATTCTTAGTAGAAGAAACAATGCACTGTATTTTAAAGGCCAAATTGTTCCTAATATTTTTGTAAAACACTTTAGACCAGATTTGTGATCTGTAAGCTAGAAAAGAAGTTTAAAACTAGGTCAAATTGAACCCAGAGAATGAGGCATTTCTGCTATCTGTCCTTGGTGCTCTGATCCCAATCAATTTGTTTACTTAATAATAACAATGCACTTATTATGTAATTACATATAATGATCAATAATACAATAAAAAGCAAATAGTTTATTCCTCCAGGAACACTGAAGCTAATAAATATTATTTGTATAGTTTACTCTGTACTTTAAAAATTAAAAGTATATAACACATGTCTTTTATAAAAATACATAAATTACACAGTTCAATGCAATTTAGTGAAAGACTAATTTTTAAAGGGCACCTATTTAAAATTATATCTAAATTCTGTGTGATAAAATTTTGGATGGAATCTAAATGGAAAATAGCGATATAAAATCTATATCCAGAAAATTCATATATCCAAAAGTATCTTCCATTCAGTGTGAGAAGCTATGCCAAGACTTAATACAATACTGAGATTATTTCTGATTATTTCTACACTTCACCCTGGGAACAACCTCCCCCTCTTCAAAAAAGAAAATTCCAATTTAGAAAAGAGTCTTGAAACACCGTAGTTCTGCTTCTGAAATGCCAAGTCAGTAATATTTCTTACATTTGTTTTACCTGCCACCAGCCCAAAATACGGCCTAAGACAGGCCTGTACGAGCCTCATCAGAACTATGAGACACATTACCAGTAGTCATCACTAAGAGATAAATTGCTCACAACTCTAATTTCCTCTTTAAACATTTTCTGGGTCTCCTGATTGTTTTTTAATGCACACAGATTACTTCCATACATGTAAAAAAAACTTCACTAAAATTCTTTATATAAGGACAGTAAAACTGTTAATTGCAAATCTCACAACATTTATATTAAAAGAAGAATATTCCAAGTTGTATCCAGTTTTTAAAGGAGGTCAAAAAGGGGTTAGGGTAGTCAAGGACCCAAGTCATCATGCCTGGACCTCACACCATCTATTCGGCTGAATGTTAAACTGGGCTGTGTGACAGACAGGGTAGGCAGCTATTCTGGGCCGAAAAGACAGCAAGAAAGCAATCTTGGAGGAGGGCCTGGGATTGGGGAGCAAAGGCCAAGAGAAGGCTTGACTCCAGTGAAGGAATGGGAAAAGGGGAAGTGAATGAAGGAGGTGAGGTAGATGGAAGAAAACTAGCAGCCAGAGAGGAAGGAATCAAGTTTGCAGAGGATATGTAGAGAGCAGAGAGCAGACAGGCTAAAAAAGGAGATGGGCAAGGAACAGCAACAAAAGGTCTTTATTCTGAGGACTAGGGTGGGGGGTGGGCGGGGTAGGGGGAGTCAAGGCCAGAGAAGGCCTGTCAGAGGTCCTGGTTCAACCCCCATTTCACAGATGAGGAAACTGTGACCAGAGGCCAAGTCGCTTTCCTAAACTCACAGCTGAGTGGCATGGCCAGGAGACAGCAACAGACTCAGCGACATCAAAACTGAAAGTTGGAAAAAGAGGGGATGGAAAGACCTCTAAGTTCTTGCTTTGCTGTGAATGACCATGAGGCATCCAGTGAGATTAGTTAGGACTCAGAGACAGATTGGGGAGCCTTGGTAGACCAATAGGTTTAGGGGTAGTTTTCAGAAAGGCTATAAACAAAGCTATGAAAACTCAGTAGTGAGATGTTCATTGGTAAGTGCCCCTAGCAATTTAGTGGTTTTCTAAGTCAGAAATTACAGAATACACTGTTAGTTCATATATTAGCAATTACTATGAGTTTCAGCTTTGAGGGAAAAAAATTAATGTTTCCTTGGCAACCATACATTAATATGCTTAATCTATAACTATTCACCTCATACCCAACTAGGAGACTGTATACATTAGATACTTACAGAACTTTATACATTGGAATTAAAGTCAGCATTGTTGTTTGATTTGTAAAATAATCATATTTAGCCAAAGCAATTTAAGTGGATTTTTTTCATAGTTCATCTCATGTTGACATGGCATTTGAACATAGCAGTGAAACTTAAATAAAAGAATCCTCCCTAGTTAATACATATTAGAGAAATAGTTAGTATTGAATTAGTAATTCCTCAGTATCAGACAGACCATTGCAATGGCGCAGTCCTGTGCTTCTTGGACTAGGGTCAATTACAACAAAACTTTTGTTATTTTAGTGATTGAATTCCCATGGAGTGGCATTCAAGATGGATTCTGCCCTTATTCTTAATTCCACTTAGTAGTGAAAAAACAAAAATATATGAAGAACAATTTCCAGGTTACTAGGTTAGGCATTTGAGGTTTAACTATTTCTATACCTCAGGTTTCCATATCAAAGAACACTGCTACACTGAAAGCACATCATTTTTGTTTTAGTTATTTATTTTTAACATTTGCAATAGGGCACATGTGCTCAGCAGAGTCAGAGAGAGAGAAGGAAAGTGAGAAAGCAAGCCACCATGTCTGGGACTTGAACCGCTGTCGATCATGTGGGAGTCCAGCACCTCAACCGCTATACCACCTGCTGGTCCCAAAAGCACATTATTAACAATTGGTATGGTAAAGAACCAAAGAGGTCTAGGTCTCATTCTCAAAGCATTTCATTCTATATTCCGTCACTTTTACTTAACTTTTCTGATTTACATTTCCCCAAAGACAATGTTGATGATGTATAATGGGTTTTTTATAAATGTTGATTTAGAGTGCTGTTATCTTCTAATAAATATTCACATGTATTTCATGTTAATGAAAATAGAAACTCATTCCAAAATTTGAATTTTGATTTTCAAAAGTGTCTATCACAACTTCGCAGGCACAGTCTAGGTGCTTTTGTGTGAATCAATTCATTTAATCTTCACAGTAATTCTAAAAAGTAGATATGGCTATTAACTCCAGGGTAAGGAGAGGAAACAGAGGCAAGGAGAGGTTAACTAAAAGGCCCAATATCACACAGCAAGGAAGTCGGGGAGAGGATGTGACCTTTAGTGACGAGGCTACACTAACTTCCTATTACTGCCTCAGACACTGACACTTTTTTAATTTGGGGAAACAAATGACAATATCAGACCATTGCTATGATATATTTGCATCATTAGGTTGTTTTATAATTCTAGTCATGTACAATTAAACTATAGTTGTTTCAATCACTAAATTCCCATCAAATAAAATTCCGACTGCCCTCAGCTTTCAGATGACCCAGGTAACTTATATTTCCTAGGTCTTACTATTAGAAGAACAATTCGTAGAAGGCTGAGACCATGTGCATGCATACACATGTATATACCCCATACACTGAAATAGACCTTACATCACCCTAAAACTAATTAACACAAATATAAGCATACCATTAGAGATAAACTGTAGTCTATCTCATAGGAAATAGAATCCTTCATAATTTTTTAAAATAATGAGGAGTTTCTAAAAAGTTCATAGAAAATGTATGTTATTTTTAAAAAGCAGAAATTTTAAAACATTTTTGCACTAAAATAAATTCATACATTCGTTCCATTTTTCCATGAACTATCTGAAGTCCTCTTATAATTTAAAAAAAGACTTCAATGGGAAAGATCAGCAGGAGGCATATGGTTAAGGCACTGGACTCCCACATGGCCAACTGTGGTTCGAGTCCTGGACCCAGCAGCTTCCAATTCATGCCAGGTGCATGTGCATGTATGCCCAAAGTAAAAGGGGAATGGAGGAACAGGGACTGTAGCATGGCCATCAACTGGGGCAGGGCAGGGGGGCATTGATTTCTCATTTTCTTTCTCTCTGTCTCTCTGGTGAGTGCATATGACCTATAGTAAAAATTCTCTAAAAAAAAAAAACACTGAATCTCAACCCCTGTTAAGGATATTTAGTAAAAGTCATAATAGGAGAAACCAAAGCAAAACAATGCAAACTTTCCAAATTGTAATCGGATTACTTTCTACTTTCAGATTAAGTCTGATTTTTAGAAACTACCTTTATTGAACAATTGCTAAACAGACTCACCAGACCAAACATTCAGAAAAATACTTTTGAAAGGTACATCATTCCATCAACAACAATATGAAAATAACATCGAAAGTATTAGTACCTGACAGAAGGTCCTTAAACATGGTACATAACAAGGAATAAAGAGCATATGGATGTAATCACAGGGAAAAGTGACTTTTTCCCTCCAAATGCAATGAGAAAAAAATGTGACTAATTCAATATACTTGATTTTCCAGCATTTTTTCATTATGGAAGTTTTTTCAAGTTCAGACCAAAAGAGTCTTAAGTTTTTCAAAATATAGTCAATGTTCACAGATAATCATTCTTTTCAATCAAAAGTCCTTTCAGAATTTGTATACTGGCTAGTTACAGAAAGTTTTGTTTCCATTTTTCACATATGATAAAGCACAAGTCAAGGAATAGGCATCTTCAGTGAACTCCAAATACAAGAAAAATACAAAAGAAGACAACTTACAGTCATAATTGAAATTCAACAATCATTCAGTTTACTTCAGTGTTCATTTTCCAGGTATTTATCATGGAAAGCATGGTACCCGATAAGGCGAGGCACAGAGAATGCATAAATCTGCCCTTCGGAGCTTATGAGCACTAGGAGACAGGCATGCAAACGAGCACCACACACAGGCTAAACCACAGGCACCAGCGGAGGAAGGCGAATCCATTCTAACTGGAGAGGGAGAGGGAGAGGCAGGGAGGATGATGGCGAAATGTTAAAGGCTCCTCAGAGGTATTTGACCTGAGCCTGGTAGAACAAAGAGACCTTCGATAGGCACAAAAAAGGTGGCTGAAGGCATCCTGGGCCCCAGGAAGTGCACAGGTGAAGGCACAGGACAGGCAAGGGCAAGCAGGGAGGACCCCAGCATGGAGACACACTTCGTGCGGAGAAATGGAGGAGAGATGAAGGCCTGATAGGGCTAGCACTATGTTCCATTACGATTCAAAGACAAACTAATATCCAGATCCAAAAATAAAACAAGGAATCACTTCCGAAAATAAACTTCCAAATGTTAACATAGGTGTGATTTGTCTTCTTATAAATAAATAATAGAAAATAGAATGGCATGTGTTCAAAACTCTTTCAAGTATTCCGTGCAAAAGTTAATGTGGCGAGCACAGATAGTACCTTGTTTGATGAGGTAAAACAATATGTGAAGAAGCACATTATGGTGAGCAATGGCAATGTCAATATCTTCAAACGATATTGGCACATTATAAACAGAAACGACACACATGATTAATTCGAGCTCCAAATGTCTGTTCCATTCCTCACCAGTTAAAGTGATAAATATGTGAGATACAGTCTCAAATCAATTACTCAGGACATACTCCCCTCCCCAGACTACCTAAGCACTTAAAAATAACGTGGGATGTGCTTTACTTCTTGCACTTTGAATAAGAGCCAAGAAGGACTGTGTCCTGACAGGCTGCTGCTTCTCCATAGTTTCGAGCATAAATCTCTTCAACTCTTCAGAGGCTTAATATACCGGGTAATGCCCCCAAGGACACTCCACAAACATGACCTCTTCACCATTACAGAAGTGTGGCAGGGGCCTACGGAGAGACCTTGCATCTGCCAACTGAAATTACCAATTGAATCAAATCACAGTAGGAGGGGCTGATCCAGAAGTGCTGATGAAAAAAGGGAACAAGAGACAGCTGTTCTCACTTCGGACTTTGTCCCCAGTCTTATGTGACAGGGCTTTGAGTAATGCAAGTTTCTCTTGGGCTTTGGCCTGGGCATCGTCACCACCTGGCACAGCCACTCCAATCGGCCAGGCTGACCTGTCCTCCTTGGAGCTGTAGAGAATGTCCGGTCCACTGAGGAGGAGAGTCCAGTCAGAATGTAACTTACTGTCCCTCTCGTGCTTTACTATGATAGTGCTGCTGTTTTTCATGGCCCCTGAAAAGAAACAGCACAAAGGTGGGCCTCAACCACAGCCTCGGCCAAGGCCATGGAGGTGTCCTGCATGAACTGCACCAATCACACAGCCAGACCAGGCCTGCTCCCGAATGCTTCCCTGGGTCTGCCAGTGCTCAGGAGACGGAGGTCGTGGATGCACTTAACAAGGACTTACCTTGGCGGATGAATGTTTGGCTGGTGTCCAGCAAGATGTCACAGCCCTCCACTATCATCCTCTCGATGGCAAGGTTTTTCCTTATGTTTTCAGTGTCACTCACTTCATCGTGCATCACCCTGCCAGACACAGCACAGACAGGGTCACAGTGAGAGACCTTTCCTGCTGCCCTAGACAGGCAGAGAAGGGCTCTACCAGTTTCAAACTTTTGCCTATCTAAGTGGGGCCATGGGGGAAGCAGGCTGGACCTCCAGGCTCCAATGAACCAAGATCCAAATCAAGACCAATGAGCGTGATGATTCTAAATAGTAAATGAGTATCCTGAAAAGTTAAGTGTTTTTTTTTAGTTTTTTCCCCAGAGTGAGTGTGTGCTCACCAGAGAGAGACAGAAAGAGGGAAAGTGATGACCACACCACAGTGCCTTCTCCAGTCTCCTCTTAGGATTTTGGGCAGACCTGTACACCTGCCCAACATGATTTTCAGGCCACCAGGTCCAGGACTCAAACTGCAGTCGACCATGTGGGAGTCCAGCACCTTAATTACTACACCACCTGCTGGCCCCAGGAAGTTTGCTTTTAAACGCAACAGAAAAGCAACTTATTTTATGCACTGTTACCTGCATTGAAAGTAGTGTGCCAGTTTTTGGAGGCAGAGTAAATTAGAGACCTATCGACCCATAGTCCTCACCGTCTTGGCACCACGGACTGGTTTTGCAGAAGACCATTTTTTAATGGGTGAATGGGGAGGGAGGATGAGGGTTTGGTTTTGGGATGATTTGGGCACATCGCATTTATTGCGCACTTTCTATTTCTTATTTTTACATTATAATGATAAGATTCGGTACTAGCCTGTGCCCCAGAGGTTGGGGACCCCAACTTAAGGCCATTTAATCCCATATAATCTAAAGCAGCACACATGTTACTAAGTGCCCATAACAATGAAACGTCACCAAGAAATACACATTGTACATTCTCTAACTTCTTGCCAACCGAATACAAAATGCAACTGAAGTCATTTTTCTATTATGCTGAAGGAAATGTATTTCCAAACTTAAACCGAAATACACCTAACCTCAGTGACAAATTCACGAGCTCTAAAAACGTTTTGAAAGTTGAGCCTCACCCTTGGTTAAAATGCACGTGAGTCAAAACTAGCCCAGCTCATGGGCTAGCACTTAACTGTGCGGTGACGCCGGAAAGCTGGACTTGGGCTTCCCTTCTCACACCGTGGAACACGTACCTCAGGTTTCTAGGAGAGACTAATTTGCTGCTTTTCCATCCCAAGCATTTATTCTAAGTTATCTGCGTACCTGGATAACTCCTCTAGTTTTGACTTAGCAAACTCCAGACTCTTCCTCTCCACGTGCTCATGGGGTGTGTGAGCCAGGAGCTCATGCAGCGTGATGATATACCTGGGGATCTAGGTGCAAACAAAGACCAGCATGAGGTCAGGATGGGTGATGCTGGGGCACTCTCTCCAGGGCCATCACCGCTGGGGAAGTTCTTCTCTACTCTTGCAGTTTTGAGTTTTTTACACATTTAAGATAAATATGTAAAAACGAACAATGCTTCAAACCAAACCAAAGAACACATGAAAAAATAATCATAAATAAGGTATTGGGTCCAAAGAATCCATTTTTTTCTGTTTTGTTTTGTTTTGTTTTAGTTTTTTACATATCATATATTTTTGAATCATGACTTTTTTTCTTTTTTAGAGATTTTTGCTATAGGGAACGCGCACTCACCAGAGAGACATAAAGTGAGAAATCACCCCCCAGGGGGATGGCCATGCAGCAATTCCTTCTCCTTTCAGGATCTTGGGCACACACGCATGCATGCACACACGTCTGGCATGAGGTTGAAGCCACTGGGCCCAGGACCCAACCCACAGTCAACTACGTGGGAATTCAGCAACGTAACCATTATGCCATCTGCTGGTCCCAAATCATGGCTTTTGAAAACTAATTCAAATAGAAACAAATGTAACTTGCTAGAGCCTGTATTTCAGACATATTTGTCTGTTTGCCATTTTGTTTTTAATTTTGCTACAGGGCACGTGTGTTCACCAGAAAGAGACAGAGAGAAAGAGAGAGAGGGAAAGTGAGAAAGCACCTCCTAGGGGGATGGCCATACTATAGTTCCTTCTCCATTCTCCTCTCAAGATTTTGGTCATGCACACACTCATGCCCTGTGTATCTTTCAGGCTGCTGGGTCCGGGCCTCAAACCACATAGTCAATCAAGCAGGATGCAACTGCCTTAACCACCATGCCACTGGTCGGTCCCAACATTTTTTTTTTAAATTTGACAATCCTAATGCAATGTTCTCTTACAAATTAAAAGTTAGGAAAAGAAGGTAAGCTCACCCTTGCTACGCTCTGGTACTACCTTATTCACATTCTAGTGGTAAAAAGTACTATTTAATTCAATTACTTATTTGTACATTTGTTTATAAGCAGACTATCTGAATTCTGTCAAAGGCAGAAACTCTACCAACCATATAAAGGTTTTAATTGACTATAGAAAAGAGTTAACTCAAGTTACAGTGATTCAACATATCTATTTATTACTAATTATTTTATTTAACTTTATTTATTTATTTTAATTTGACCAGAGAGGGACAGAGAGAAAGAGAGAGACAGAAAGTGAGAAAGTAAGCTGCCAGGTTTAGGACTCAAACCGCAGTCGGCCACATGGAGTCCACTGCCCTTAGCCACCATGCCACCTGCTAACCCCCAACATATCTATTTTTTACTGGCTTATAGAATTGAATGTCTTTCAGACAGCAAGGACCATAGATTTCGTTTTAACAATAACATGCATGAACAACAGCTACCCTAACACTGCCCAATGTGAGTCAGACCCAGTGCTCCTGGCTTTAGACCTGCAACATGAGGATTATTTCTCCATTTTACAGACAAGGAAATAAAGTGCAAAGAAGTTTGTTAACTTGCCCATGGTGGCTTCACAATAACTGGCAGAGTCAGCTCTGACCGGTGTATCAAACCCTCTCTCTCAGAGCCTACCCTCAGGGATTATTTTTTGTTTTTGTTTGTTTGCTTGTTTTTGTACAGAGTCAGCTCTGACTGGTGTACCAAACCCCCTCTCTCAGAGCCTACCCCCAGGGATTTTTTTTTGTTTTTGTTTGTTTGCTTGTTTTTGTGGGGAGCAGGGTCTCACTCAGCACCTGGAACCTCTGAGCATAAAGAAAGTCAATCCACTCACAAAGGCCCTATGTGTAGTCCCTTTCATTCTTCCCTGAGGGGCTAGTGGTGCTATCTTCGACCTGCTTTTGCTTTTGTGCAGGTGGTGGGCTGCACGGGGTGGTTTTCTAATGTTTCCTGGGTGCCTCCATCTACACACCACACACAGACGGAAACCATCATTAGCCAGACACTGAAGTGCAGCTCGCTCTCTGGGACAGCATGCTACAGTGACATTGTGTCAAGGTTTCAGGAAACACGAAGCCCTAAGTCATAGGTGAGTAGAACACAGGAGGATCCTCCCTCTGTAGGATTTATGAAGGAGGCTTTCTATGTCTTCATCCCAAAAAGTTCTCACTGCAAGAGCCTTCAGGACTGTGCCACTTAATGAAGTCTCCTGGGATAAATATGTTTCCAAATATTCCCTTTTCTGAGCACAATCCCATGATCGATAAAAGTTTACCTCTAAGTTAATAGTTCCACAAGAAAAATCAAGGCAATTAACAGCTACTGTGCTCCATTTTTCATAACCAAGGAGGCAGGAGTGGGAGAACCAGACTACTTATAATGCACTGAAAACCCACAAAACTAAGTTTTTCAATAGCTTCATGTCCTGCCTCATTAATTCAATCTATTTTTAAGAGTTTCCTGGCAAAGAGTCAAGGGAAGGGCTTTGAATTCAGTCAGTGGCCCTCTGCTTTCTGGTAGAGGAGCCAATAAGCATGGAGATGGCCAAAAAGCAAGCAAAGGAAGTTCTGTAGAAAAGTGGACAACTCTCCAAAGAGCTCATCAGTGTATTCAAGAGCTGCTTACAAACCTGTTCCCTTCAAACCTAAGATCACAGGAACTGTCTAAATGAATCTTAATTCTGCTTTCAATTAAGAACAAATACTTGCCACTTTGTAGATATTAATTACTTTGCTCTCTACCTAAGTAAATCAATGTATAGAATAGACACGGCTACTTTCTGGGAGAACGTCTAACAGTGCTGTTCTTGTCCAGAGGAGACTTCATCATTGGCTTACCTATGGACTTTCATCTCTAATAAGCAAATGAGCAGCAGAAGCCAATTTAAACAGTATCAGCCAAGCTATTGTCTTTGCTAAATAAAAATTATGTTAATAACTACATTATTTTCCATAACAAATTTCTTGGCAACACTTGGGCTTACTGGTCTGATAGTTCAACTGGAGGTAATTTTACTGCATCACCCAAATTCTACAAATCCTCCATGTTTCCATAGTTCAACATAGTTCAGTAACAGTGGCGTAGAAGGAGACAGAATACAACCACCTTCTCTCCCACACATACAAAAGCTAAAAGCTTCCGGTCATTGCTCCTTCTCCCTCTGCCCCAATACCAACCTCTGTCCCTATAGCTAAGGTCAAGAAAAAGTTTGGACCAGAGGACCTTTGGCAGCATGAACTAAAAAGTACAGAACCCTAGTCTCATTTTGAGGTGTCCAACCCTAAACAGGAGCAAGGTAGAAGGTAAAGGTATAGAGGTATAGAGGTCTCATTGCTGATACAATGTATGCAGAAGTAAATGCACCCTGGACTCTGATGGAATGAACACCTTCATGACGATTTCAAGTATAGAATGAACCTAGTAAGAAAAACCTTCCACCTTCTAGAAAGGACAATGCCCCTACAAATGTTTCATATGGCTATTCCTAGAGAGAAATGTGAAAGTTTTTAAAAATCAAAATGGAATCATTTGTGTCATCTCTACTAAACCAACCTGGGAAGGCCATGGAGGAGGTGTTTTGTCACACTAGAATGCACGGAACAAGAACTGTTAGAGAACTCTGATAAAATCACAACCTTGCACCAAGACCACTGCAATTGACTCAAAAGACTTCTGCAAAGACATCTGCCCAGAGACTGTCTGATCTTGGACTGACACCACTCTTTCAATATTTTACAGTTTGATTATTTTAGGTGAACAGAAAGCAGAAAGAAGTCATCAGAATGATAAAGACAAAGGAGAGACCCCCAAGGACCATGAGACTCTTGGGCAACAAATTCTAATTATTTCTTCCTTGGTCTATTCAAAACAGTTACAGGGAAACAGATAATTCAGTGCTTTTTCAGGTTGTTCATTTCTTGCTACTGTACCAATTCTGGCGAAATTCTTTGAGTTTGAGGCTTCTTCCAGAACCTCTTCCAGAGGCTCTTACAAACTGAAACCTCTGGTTATCCTGGTATGGAAGAAGCCAGAGAACCTCAATATGTGACCCTTCAACTAAATCCAAGGGTTAGAGTCACCCAAATCCTGGAGGTAGATGAGAGGAGAGTCTTAGACTTTCACCAGGCTCCTTGCAAAATCACTGACCCAACCCAAACTGTCAAAACCATTCAGCCCTCCTATGATCACAGGGTCAGAGAGCTAAAGGACTTAGAGATAACTAGAGCTCGATTGCCTCAATTTAGAGATTAAGAAATAGAGATTTACATTGGTTCAATTATGGTCTCCAGTGCTATGATGGAAGAGTAAGTAAGATAACAGAAATCCTAACGATTTCTAAGCCAACATTCTTTTTCTAACTTTATGAGAATGTCCTGGGGTCAAACAAAATGCTTAGTCATGGCTCTTGAGCTTGAACTCAGAGGAAGGGAGAAAAGGTTGGTGAAAGAGTTCCCCAGCATTTTAAAGAAACCCAAAGACCTTTCCAAGGCCCTATATTCAACTGTGCTTGGATATCTCACCTAAGTAAGGGAAGATCTGCCATTTACAGTAAAAACACTGAGAAAATCCCACCAAGAGGAAATGTCCCTCTCTCAATGTTCCGTGTGTCTTTCACGATTATCTTTGTATATTTATTGACATGGGGTTGCTAAACTGATACAATTTGGGATATTGAGTCATAACCTGGAGGTAACTGCCAAAAAAGCTAAACAAAATCCCAAGAGAATGTTACATTATATAAATGTGCTTACTGTAACTAAAATCTCAAATTCCAGTTATGCATATTTGTTTTAAAAATTTGAACATTTTCTTGGGAAATACTTCTTCAGGAAGGTAAAGAGTTCACACAATCCAGTTCCATGGAATAAAACAATAACACTATCAAGTTTCACTATACTTAAATGGTTCCAAATACATCCTTTCGGTTTTTAAAAATCTTACTAAACTTCTTTTTCTTAATATTTAATTTTATTTATGTATTCATTTATTTTTATATGACCAGAGAGAGACAGAGTGAGAGTGAGAGAGAGAGAGAGAGAGAGAGAGAAAGAGAGAAAGTGAGAAAGCAAGAGAGAGAGAGAGAGAGGGAAAGTGAGAAAGCAAGTCACCAGGTCCACAACTCGAACTACAGTTGACCATGTGGGAGTGTAACACCCTTAACCACCCTGCCACCTGCCACCTGCCACCTCCCTTACTAAACCTCTATGGTGACTTCCAGGATTTTGAGCAGGAGTGATCAACTTAAAGATAAACAATTATGGGGGCCAGCAGTTGGTATAATGGCTATGTCACTGGCCTCCCATGTAGTTGACCACAGTTCGAATCCCAGATCTGGTGGCTTAAACTCACACCGGGCATGTATGCATGCGTGCCCAAGATCTGGAGAGGAGAATAGAGGAGAAAGGATTGTGGTGTGGCCATCCCCACTGGAGGATGATTTCTCACTTTCTGTTTCTCTGTCTTTCTGGTGAGCACCTTATAACAACAACAACAACAAAAAAAAACTCTCAAAAAAAAAAAGATAAACAATTATGAACCATAGAAACATTTCTATCTGAGGCTACAAAATGATCTGCCAAGGTCGAGACGCCTGTTCAAGAGAACAAAGCACTCCTAAGGAACCATAACTATGCACATGATTAGTAGACTCAGTCTACCACATGACAATCTGGAGGTCTGGCCAGAGCCCCATAAATTCCACCATGGGAACACTCACTGCTTTTCGAAAAGAAAAGAATCAACACTTTTCAAAAGACCAGAGGATTCAATACATATTTTGGCCCCACAGTTCTCACTCCAGAGCTCATAATAGTAAAGCCCTACATGAAGGAAAGAACACAAGGGTACTTGATCCCTCAGGGTTGCCGAGTCCTCAGAAGTGAGCCTGGCTCGTTGTAGCAGCCTGACTAGGTGCCAAGACTTCCCAGGTCCAGCCAGTGCCTCTGGCTCCTAAGTCTCCACAGCCTTGTGACCAAGAGGTCCTCCTTTTGAGCACCAGAGCTCTGGCCAAGAGACATCAACAGATCATGACAGGATGAGAGGATGGGCCAGAAAACAAAGACCTTTCCAACAATCCCTCCGAAAGTCCTCAGAAACCTTTTATGCAACTGGCATAAACTGGAACATTTGCACAGAATCCTATTTCTGTAAACCTAATAATATTTTTAAACATACTGGAGGAGGAGATCCATGAAAGGGGTCTGTGTGCAATCTTTCTATAATGAAAAAATTGTACTGCTTTTCAAGAGATTATTCTTGAATTACTGGCTTCAAAATGCCGGGTTTTTTTTTAAATGTATACTAGACAGAGAATGTGTGGTGCATTATTTATCTCAGGTTCGAGCTCAAAACACTGGTGCATCTGTGCCATCCCTCCTCCCAGGGAACACTTACATCTCGCTCTGGTCACACTGGGTATCGTGACACTGAGCAGGAACCAAGACCCTGTACAAGACAGCGGAAGTGACCTACCTGAAACATGGGGTAGGTCAAGAATGTTTCCAGCATCCTCCCCTCACAGGCAGGGTTGGCTTCATACTGTTTCAAGAGTTTGTCAAAATCTCTATTTTGCTTACAATTGGCGAGGACTTGGAGGCTGTACTGGTGGTTACGCACAAATTCTTGATAAATATTCAGCATGGGGAGCAAAATATCAAACAGATCAGCTGGAAAAGAGAAATAAACATGGCTGTCTCCCTTGGCGTTTGGTAAATCATCTGCACCCAACAGGCATAGCAAAGAGTGGCTCCTAGCACCAGGAGTCGCACACACGTGATCCGTCCTATTGCCTGAACAAAAGTCTCCTGGGGCAGAATTTGACTCCAGCCCCAAGTGCACTGTGACAGGCCAGAAAAAAGAGAAAGGTAACTACAGAGGGAAGGCCTGAAAGACTCGAAGGAAAATGGAGCAGATTCCTAGTGGCAAAGGAAGCTCACTGGTCACATTTAGACAGCTTAGGCTGAACAATGGAGCAGGTATTTCACTCTCAGTGTAACCATTCTAAGAAAAAAATGTTTCAAGAATGCACTTACCTAAAATTAATGTAGGCCAGTTCGCTATCCGTGCCTTTAGTCCTTGATGAAATATTTCATGAAGAAACATGATTGTTTCACTATAAAAAATAGGAAAATAATACAACTTAGTCACTGTTAAGTATTTATTTTGTTAAAAAAAAAATAAAAAGTCCACTGAGTCACTACAGCCTTAAGACACATGTCTCATAGGGCCTCCAAACTGTACACCCAATAACAGCATTATACGAGGCTCTATAAAGCAATTTATCTTGGGTCAGCAGATGGCATGGTGGTTAAGGAGCTGGATTCCCACATGGCTGAATGTAGTTTAAGCCCCAAACATGGTGGCTTGAAAATCACAACAAATTAATAGATAAACAAATGTTTTTTAAAAAGCAATGCATCTTTTAGAGAACCTCAAAAACCCAAAGAAAACTGTGACATAAGCTCCAAATATTGGACAACAGGAAACACTAACTTGTTGTCATAGACCCTCCTCATCAATGTGCATGTGAATTTTCTCCTGTCAGAATGTAGCAGTTCAACTGATACTCATTTTTCCTTTTATATTTAATCATAGATAACTCAGGGAAAGGGCTGTCTTTCACTGTAATGAGCTTTGACAGAAGGAAGAGGGAAAAATCCAGAGCAAAAATTTTGACAGAACTCTACAATAGCCTCTCATCAGACACCCCAGACAGAAATGTAAAAGAATCTTTGGGGCCACCAAGCGGAGTGGTAGCTAAGATACTGAACTGTAGTTAAGATATGGCTGACATCAGTTCGAGTCTCAGACCTAGTAGCTTATTTACTTGCCCTTTCTCTCTCTCTGTATCTCTCTGGTCAAATTAAAACATAGTAATAACATATAAAATTGAATAAATGAATAAGAATCTTTGGGGCTGGCAGGTGGCCTGGTGGTTAAGAGTGCTGGACTCCCACATGGCCGACTGTGGTTCGAATCCCGGCTCGCTCTCTCTCTCTCGCATGCATGCTCTCACTCTGTCCCTCTCTGGTCAAATTGAAATAAATAAATGAATAAATAAATAAAGTTTAATAAAATAATTTTAAAAAATAAAAAGAACCTGAGGATCCAGCAGGTGGCATAGTGGCTAAGGTGTTGGACTCACACATGGTTGACTGTGGTTCAAGTCACACACCTAGAAAATGATAAATCAAATTAAATAGAAAATATTAGACTCCTTTAAAACAAACATTGAGGAGCAGTCCTTATGATTTCCAAATAGTCCATGAAATAAAAAAAGACACTGCTTGAAGCTTGCAATTAGTTTTTTTTGTTTTGTTTTGTTTTAATCAAAATTTCAACTGAGTAGTGCTTATTGTTCAAAGAATTCAACCAAATTCAGTTTGGTAGACTACAGATTAGTCTTTGAATCTGTATTCCACCCTCTTAGGTAGAGAGGTAGAGAGCTAAAGCTACATTTCCCAAACTCCCTTGCAGATAGGATTCTGGATGTCAATTTAGTTTCTCCAGTGGATGTACTGGCAAGAGATGAAAGGCAGAAGTAAAAGTCATCTTCCTGTGGTTAAAAGTCAGTCATAGAAAAGCGAATATTTTAGGGGCAATTTCAGCTCCTAGCATCAATATTCTAGTTTTAAGGAACTAGCTTCATGGGTCTGAGAGGCAGTTGTCATGGTAATGGTGGTGGCATTAGGGACACACAGACACACTACTGTGTCCTAACCTCTGGATCACACCCATCGTGCCACGCCTCTAAACTCAACAGTCTAGGGGCAACTCCCTGACTATTCCTTCAGCCCTGCCAATGGATTCTGTAAACAATATGATAAGACTTCCTAATCTTTCAGTTCACTGACTTTAGAACTCTTACTCGAAAATCCTGTCACACGATCAGGACCTAAATTCACAGGTCCCAACACCTTTTCACTGACATGAACCAGTAGGGTGACCTAAATTCAAGGCAGCACAGGCTCTGCTGGCATTGCTTTTGCAATTCCATCCACTGCCATTAGAACTGTGGAAACCACACCTGGCTGGCTGGAGTATCATCAAAATGCTAGCTGTCTGCCTGAGAACCACCCTCCCTTAGGGTACCTCATCTACTTAAGTGAAGCTAGTGCCAGCCAAGGGGAGGAAATCTCCCCACTCTTCTCAACAAAAAACTCTAGCTTTTAATATCATGCTCTCGGGACCAGCAGTTGGCGTCCTGGCTACGTTGCTGGACTCCCACATAGTTAACTGCAGTTTGAGTCCCGGACCTGGTGGCTTAAACTCACACTGGGCGTGTGTGCATGCATGCCTAAGAGGAGAATGGAGGAGAAGGGATTGCGGCATGGCTATCCCCACCTAGGGAGTGATTTCTCGCTTTCTATCTCTCTGTCTCTCTCTCTGTCTTTCTGGCGAGCGCATATGCCCTATAGCAAAATCCTCTCAAAAAAAAAATAAATAAAAAATAATTTTTAAAGAAATCATCTCTCAGACTTACCACTTATCACCTTCCTTTCTGCAGTCTCCTGACTCTGTTGCTCTTCCTAATGCCTCAAGATTTCAGTACTTTGTCAATCCTTGCTCTAACACAACTCCTGGCATAATTTTTAGTGATTCCAATATGGGCTCAAACAACATTTCAATAGCCTGGCCCCATGGGTCTTTGAACTCCCACTCCAAAGATCTTATCCTCCATTGACCTCAGTCAACACTCTCCTGATTATACTCTAGACCTTGTCATTGTCAATAGTCATCCCCTGTTATGTGGTAGATTGGTTCCAGAACCTCTGTGAATATCAAAATCCATGGATGTTCAAGTCCCTTATATGAAATGAGGTAGTATTTGCATATAACCTAGGCACATCTCCCATATATTTTAACTCATCTCTAGATTACGTATAATACCTAATACAATGTAAATGCTATGTAAATAACTGCTTTACTGTGTTGCTTAGTAAATAATGACACAGGCAATAAGTCTGTATTGCACATATTCAGTACAGATGCAACCATCATAGGCATAACTGTATAGTACACATCAACAACATCATAACATTTTTGATCCCTGATTATTTAGATCCACAGATATAGAACCCCTGAATACAGAGGGTCAACTCTAACCACTTCCCTTCCTTATCTCAATTTCAAACACATCATTCTCTGATCACTTCCTAATCTTTCAGTTCATAGGCTTTAGAACTCTTACTCCAAAAATCCTCTCACACCATCAGGACCTAAATTCACAGGTCCCAACACCTTTTCACTGACACGAACCCCCACGAATCTACAGTCTAGATTCCATGGATTATTGATATAATCTCTTCCATACATACCCTCTCAACTCCCTTATCCTTCTCACTTCATCATAATAGCCTTAATTCCAGTTAACCCCAATCTTCTGCCCACTCTGCCTGCATCAATGAAGCTGAAAGTAGCTAAAGAAAAGTGTGTAACCATCCTGATGGGTCTCACTGTAAAGTCTAATATATTCGCACGGACTCTGAGCATTACCCGGTAATTCTACTACACTTCCTTCATCTAGCTACTCCCCTCTACATGGTCACTATTTCATATCTTCTCCTTTATTCAACTCCGACATTTCCTCTCCCATTCACACTGTTACCTGATGTCCTTGCTTCCTGTCTACAGATGTGTCCATGTACTATTCCTTCCCTCTACACTCTCCCATCTAATGCCAACTTTTGACTTGTGCACCACATTCTGTCCACTTTCACCTAAGCAAGCTCATAATTATCCAGTAATTTTCCTCTCTCCCTCCTAGATAATTATTTTTCTCTATTTATCTCTAGGTAACACCCTGTTTTGTTTGTTTAATTTGCCAGAGGGTGCATGCATTTGCCAAAAAAGAGTGAGCGAGAGAGAAAAAAAGGAAAATGAGAGAAAATGCACACACACACACCCACACACACACACAGCATGTTTTTCAAGCTGCTGGGTCCAGGGCTCAGACCATGAAATCAGCCACATAGGTTCCAGTAGCTCTAACCACCATACCACTGGCTGGCCAGGTACCACCCTATTTTATCTCTTCTTTATAGCAATTCTTTTTGAAAGAGCTTTCTATACTGCCCTCTCCAACCTCTATCTATACGCTAGCCCCCCTCCAATTAAGCTTTGGCCCATCATTAAAGTTATTGATTAGCTAGAGTTGTTAAACCCATGGTCAAGTCTCAGTTACTGTTTTACCCTTTTGGCACAGTTGTTCATTTCCTTCTGCCTGGACAACTCATTCTTCTGGTTTTTATCTTACAACTCTAACTGATCCTCTTTACTCTTCTGCATGGGTTCCTCCTCATCCTTCTAATATCTAAACACTGTACTGTCTCAGGGCTTAACACTTACTCCTCTTCTCTTATCCATCTGCATTCACTTTGTTGGTAATCTCATCTCAACGAGCAGCTTTAAATACTATCCATATGCTACCAAACTCCCAAATTTATATCTCCAGTCCAGAACCCTCCTCTGAGCTCCACACTAATACCCAATCCCCACCCACTTGATGGCTTCATTTGGATGACTAACAACATCTTAACACTCAAGGCAAATCCCTCCATCTTTTCCTCTAACTCTGTTCCTGCTTCAATCTTTATAATTTACTAAATGGAAACTACATCCTTCTAGTTTTTCTGGCCAAAAGTTTTGGAAATTTAGCTGGTTTTGCTTTCTATCAAATCCACATTATACCCATCAACAAGTCCTACTGGTTCTGTCTCAAAAATACACCTAGAATCAAAGTATTAATAATGACCTCCATTACAATCATCTCTTGGTTGGATTGCCAAAATAGTCATCTAACAGGCCTCTCAACACTTACCAAATTTATTGAAAAGCCACTAAATGGACCTCCTTGCAGTCTATTCTGAACAAAGAAGCCAAAGACAGCCTTTAAAACATAAGTTATATCATGCCACTGCTCTGCTCAAAACTCCACCAATGTCTCCCCAGCTCATTTAGAATTAAAGCCAATGGAGTTCAACTGTCTTGCCTGTTAATGTTCTGACTTCCTCCTTCATCCAAACCAATGTTGCGGTTCCTTAAACTGGCACCCCCGGGCATGCTCAGGCCCTCTAGACTGGCAGTTCCTCCTGCTTGTCTCCATCTCTTCCAAGGAAGCCTATAGCTTGCTTCTTCACCAGCTTCAAAACTTTACTCAAGCTTTCCTGTATAGGCTAGTGAAAACCTATAGCACTTTCACATACCATAAAACCAAGCACTGAGTGTTTAAAATAGAATGCACTTTAGGGATCAATGTGGCATATATTATTAAATGGAAAAATCTAGCAGGTGTCAAATTCCACTGCCTTTTGTCTAAGAAGTGGGGAGATAAAACTCTCTATTCATGTTTTCTTAAATCTAAATCAAGAAAAATTCAAAAGCTATATAAGAAACTAATAAACATAGTGATGTGTAGAAAGTGGGAGGGATAGAATAGATAGAGACAGGGGAAGATTGAGTCTTCTAATTGTTGTTTGATATTGTTATGTTATTTTGACCTTTGAACCATGTGAGTGAGTCATCTTTTCAGACAAAACCTAAAATTTTAATTAAAACACCCAGTCAATCTTTCTACTCCTTTTTCCCTTTGCTTATTTTTCTACAAAGTTCTAACCACCATATAACATATAAGTATTTCACTTATTCACTATCCATTTTCTGTCTTCCAGTATAAAAATTCAAGTTTCATGAAGACAGAGATTTTGTGATTTGTTCACTGATGAATCCTCAGCAGTAAGGACATGATATAAGTATTTTTTGAGCAAATAAATTCACCAGAGATTCCCAAGTCCCATCTTAGTTTTCTTTCTTCCTAAAATATTACTCTCATCCCCTCAGTTCATGCAGGAATTTATCTTCCCAACACACACACCTCCACACCATGGCAGGAAAATACATGTCAAGCAGAAAGAAAACTTAAGGAAATTAGATGCCAATATTCAAGATAAAGATATGCAAATTTAGACTAATAATAAAATGTGAAAGATAGCTCTTTTACTTTGAATATCACAAACTCATAAAGACGAGTTTTAAGAGAACTATTTTAAGAGTCAATAAAAATTCTTTTAAATGAGGACTGGCCCCATAGCACAGCAGTTAGGCACCACAGAGAGGAAGCCAGGTCCCGCATGGCTGAACAGGGTTCAGGCCCAGCTTGGAGGGTTTGAAAAACATGGCCAGGAGCATGTGTGTGCGTGTGCCTAGGATCCTGATGGGATAGAGAATTGGAGGGAAGGGCATTATTGGGTATGCAGGCCACATTGGGGATGCTTCCTCTCTCTTTCTTTCCCTCTCTATCTCTCTGTCTCACGCACACCCATGTCCCTTCTGACATGGCGGAGGGGAAAGAATGCAAATGGATTTTTCACATGACTCTTGAGTTTATGCGGGACAAACCTGTTGAGAAAAATACTGCTGACGTCATCATGGCTGATGGGCGGCTTTTTGGAGCTGGCTGCCATTCTCAAGGGCCGGAGGAAGCCATTGACCAGGATGTAGAGCTGGTGAACATACTCCGACTCTGCCTCCACCATGGTGAACACAATCTGGTTTCTCTTCCTCATACTTTCAGCATGAGGAGAACAAATGTAATCCTGCACGATGGTCTTCCATTTCCTTCTACACAACCATCCTCGCATGAAGCTCTGAACCTAGAGAAGTGAAAAACAAAAAGGAATCTTAGGGAGATATGAGACTGTCTTTCTTAAGCCTAGCAGTAAGTGTGTCCATTGTGTGTCATTCAAAGCACTGCTCCTTTTGGTGCATGAACGTTCTACTAGCAGAATACATAACAGAGGCTTTTTCCAAATAGCGGAGACAACAATGATTTGAAAAATAATATTTTTTCGCAGGTTCACAATGTTCTTCCATAGCTTAAGCTCTTTAGGTCTGTCTACTAGACTCTGGAATATAACACTTCATTTTTAATTTTATTAACATTTCAAGAAAGAAGTAAATTAAAGGCTTATTCTTCAACAGTATAGAATCTTTTTCTTTAATTTTTAAAAACTGGTAAAAAAACACCTATCATGGGACCAGCAGTTAGCATAATGGCTATTTCACTGGACTCTCATGTAGTCGACCACGGTTCGAGTCCTGGACCCAGTAGCTTAAACTCACGCCAGGCGCATGTGTGTTGAGTGCCCAAGATCTTGAGAGAAGAATGGAGGAGAAGGGATTGCGGCGTGGCCATCCCCCCCTGGGGGGTGATTTCTTGCTTTCTGTCTCTCTGTCTCTTTCTTTCTGGTGAGCGCACATACCCTATAGCAAAAACCTCTCCCACCAAAAAAAGAAAAACACATATCATGAAATTCACCACCTTACTGATTCTTAAGTATACAGTTCACTAGCATTAAGTATATTCAGATTGTTTTGCAACAGCTCTCCAGAATAGCTAGCAAAACCAAAACTCTATACCCATGAAACAACAGTTCTTTTACCCTTTCCCCTGGGCCCTGTTAATCACCATTTTACTTTCTGTTTCTGTGACTTTTACCACTTCATACACTTCGCATAAATGGAATGATATAATATTTGTCTTTTTGTGACTGGCTTGTTTTACTTAGTATGATGTCCTCAAGTTTCATCCATGTTATATAGCATGTGCCATGATTTCCTACCTTTCTTAAGGATAAATAATATTCCATGGAATGTATATACCACATTTTATTTATCCACTCATTTACTGATGAACATTTTGGTTGTTTCTACTTCTTGGTTCTTAGGAACAGTGCCAATACAAACATAAGTGTGCCAACATCGCTTCGAGATCCTGATCCTGTTCTTTTGGATGTATGTCCCGGAGCAGGATTGCTGGAATCATATATTACTTCCACTTTTAAGTTTTCAAAGAACTACCATACTGATTTGTATAAAGGTTGTACCGTGGGCCAGCAGGTGGTGTGCTGGTTAAGGTGCTAGACTCCCACATGGCTGACCACAGTTGGATTCCGGGACCTGGTGGCTTGCTTTCTCACTTTCCCTCTTTCTCTGTCTCTCTCTAGTGAGTGCACATGCTCTATAACAAATTAAAATAATAATAATAATAATAATAAATAATTTTTTTAAGTTCTGCCATTTTACAATCCTACCAACAATGTATTAGGATTGCAATTTCTTCATATACTCACCAACACTTGTTGTTTTCTGTTTTATTTTTTTAACATCATTTATTCTAATGGATGTGAGGTCATCCCTCACTATGGTTTTGATTTGCATTTCTCTGATGATCAGTGATGTTGAGCATATTTTCATATGCTTGTTGGCCATTTGTATAAAATCTTTGGACAGAGTTTATTCAAGGCCTTTGCCCACTTTAAACTGGACTATTTGAAACTGGTTGTTGCTGAGCTTTGTTTTACTTTATTCTTAAGCTTAAACAGTAAGTGTTAGAGATATGCTCATCTAACTCCTTTCATTTACAAATGAGTAAGCTAAATTTCACACAGCTAGGAAAGCTGCAACCAGGTGCAATGTTCTTTCACCTGCTTTTAATCCATGGTAAGGCCTTATTTCTCAGCCTCATGGGCAAATCACACACTATTTGTAATGATGACTATTTTGTGAAAAAGAGTAAGAAATGTAATTAAAAATCAATTTTGTAGAAAAATTCGATAGCCTCTAAAATTGATCTGAATTCCCTCAGCTTGACTACAAAAGTAACAGGCAAACCTGAAGAGTGCACGGACCTGTGTGTTTTACCCAGTCAACAAACATCATTGAACTATTTTTTTTTCTTTGCTGTAGGGCACATGTGCTCACTGGAAAGAGATGGGGGGAGGTGAGAATCACCCCCCGGGAGGATGGCCATGACACATCCCTTCCCCTCCATTCTCCTTTTGGGATTTTGGGCACACACGCTTATGTCCCCTGTGTGTTTTTCAAGCTGCCAAGTCTGGGGCTCAAACTATACAATTAGCATGTGGGATCCAGGCACTTTAAGCTCCATGCCATCTGCTAGCCCAGTGTTCTTTTAAATGTCCAGATAAATGCTAACTAATGAGAAGACAGGTGTATACCATAATCCCAAGACTCAAAGACTCTGCCACTGACCATTTGGGTGAGATTGGGTGGTCCTCTATTTCTTCATCTGTAAAATAACTGGCCAAAAGATATGAAGTCATTTCTAAATATAAATAATTATATGATGATTAATTGGGATTTGCTGCTTTACATGTGGCAGACTTAACAACAAAGCAGGTTGCAAATTCGCACATAATGGAAAGCATTAAATCACTACCAGGTCTTTTTTTAGTATTACTGTTATCTATTCAACACTTTCTTATGATTTTTTTTCATACTGTTTTGCCTGCTTGTCTAAATTATCATATATTTAAACAACTATTCTTCTCTTGCAATATTTAAAATTTTCTCATTTGCCTGCTGATGTTGTTGCCACACTATCAGTTTTCATACAGGCTTTAAAGTTGCTGCACCTAAAACAATAAAAATTAACTATATTTTAATAGTATTATGTGGAGAAAATTATATGCAAATTATTTAGGTAGATCTAATGGAAATTTTCTGTGGATTATAGACAACCTCAAATTTTGGCCTCCTAAAATAAAAAATATGTTGATACTTGCCAAGATCATAATAGAGAAACAATTTATTTTTAAATATATTTTTGCGCACAGATATTTGTTTGATTTGGGACACTAAGAACAATTATGTTAATTTCAAAACCTATTTAGTAAGCTTAAAAATAGATTTAAAAATTAATCCTGTTAATAAATCAAAAGATGTTTAAAATGGAGAAAAACATGTTGTTGTCATTTTTCTCTAATTTGAGAGAAGCATTTTCAAAAATCAGTCTAATTGAATTTTGTGTTAAATAAAACCTTTCTATTTACTTGGGCAGATGTGGCCT